AATTTATAAATTTAAATTTATCATTTTATAATGTGTGTGTGTGTGTGTGTGTGTGTGTGTGTGTGTTTGTGTAAGTATATATATATACACACACACACATATATATTATATAACCAGACAAATTCCTTGTGTGTCCGATCACACTTGGCCAATAAATAATTCTATTCTATTCTAAACTATAATGATAAATTTAAATTTATAAATTTTATGAAATAAAATTTAAAGAAGCAAAGCTGGCAGAGGCTGGACCCATGTGGGGAGCCCTTCTGATTCTGGTGATGGTTTCTCCCCCCCCTCCCCAAAGAAAAACTCACCTGTAGCCTGACGTTGAACATCATCGAAGCCACCAGGTACAGGTAAGGGAAATTGATGCGTAGCTTCCACGCCAAGTCGAAGAAGATGAGGAGGGTCCGCGTCAGCCCTTTGCAAAAGATCCCGTAGGTGCGGGCGGTGGCCGACTGGGAAAGGCGAGTAGCCAAGGCGGACAGGAGCACCGACGTCGCCGCCGCCGCCATCGACGCCCTCCCCCCTCCACACTCACACACCGACACACACACCTGCCGAGCCAGGCCTCGTAGACTCCGCCTTCTCCGCACGCACTCACAGAGACCCGGATGTCCATGGAACCAAGCAGCGCGGCTGAAGGGCTAAATCAACTCACTAGCACCGTCGCTGTCCATGACGTCAGACGCAGAGCGTCACCTCGTCCAATCCAAAGGCTTGCAATACGGATATCTTCTTTTTCTCCCAGGCTTTTCCACTCTGCTTTTTTTAACTTTCCGCTTTGCTGGGATTGGGTGTTTTGTCTTTCAATCTTAGGGCGGGCTTAAAGCAATCTTGTTTTCGTTTGTTGTTTTATGTTCCAGCTGTTTGTTTGCTCTCCCAAATGCAGAACCCATAAAAAGAGGCATGGCAGCCAAATTTTTTTTTTCCAATGCCATCCTCTTGCAACAGGCAATTTACTAATCAAGGGAGTCCCTGGAACAGTAACTGACTTCATAAATTGCATAATTTGTGTTGCAACATCATTACACATACGACGTTCTCATGGCTTATATTAGATCTCTAAGACTGCAACTCCGATCTGGAGCAAACACAGCTGGCAGCCATCATCCAGAAGGGCTATTTGTCTTGAATCAGAGTGAATGAACAACAGCAGCAATAGTATAAACGGATTAAAGTTCCTCTATGGGACCAGTCAGCAGGCCTTCTCTGTCACATTACTGCCTTATGGAATGAAGCACCCTCAAAGATTCAGATGGGCTCCATCTATTCACACAATCAATTGCAAACTTTACTGTTTTGGGGAATCATTCCTGTGTGTGTGTCCTCTTTAACTTTCTTTTCTTTGCACAACACTGGCTGCAAAGAAGAGCAAGGGATTGTGGATGATTGAGTTTGCCACCCTCTAGTCCTGCGATGGTGAACCTATGTCACACGTAACAGAGGTGGCACACAATCACCCCAGCTCAGCTTTGCCACATGCCTCCCACCAGCCGGCTGATCTTTGGGTCTCTGCTACGCATGTGCATTTGTGCATGCATGGGGGTTGGGCATATGGAGGGCTGCGCATGCATGTGCCAAATGGGCATATGCAGGGGGCGCTTGTATCCACAGGGCTCACATATGCAGGGGCTGTTTGCGCATTGCATTTTGAGGATTTGGGCACACACGCTTTGGGCACTTGGTCCGGAAAAGGTTAGCCATCACTGCTCTAGTTCTTTGGTGTAGGTTGGGAGGGAGCAGTGGTCATGTTTTCATTGGTGCTGATGGGAGGTCCCTTGCTATAGATCACTGTTTCTCAGTCTTAGCAATCAGAATTTAGCATATTCAATAAACTTTGCATGTAGATTTTAATGCCCCAAATATATACAGGAATATGTATTTGTTTTCAACAATATGAGTTCCAATTTTTCATCATACCCCTTAACTGGCAGGTCAAGATTAGAGAAGGGCAAAATTCTCCACCCAATTCTTGATAATGGTAGGTATAGCATGCAGTGTGAATCTTGGGATGATGGCTTCAGAATCCAAGCTATTTAATACAAAGCAGACTTGTTCTGCAGAAGTTGGTCTTTCCTGAGGTTTTTATGCACATCATGTGAAAAAGTCTTGTAGTGGACACCTTCCCCCACAGGTGTTACATGATGTTTTTACAATGATACTAATAGATAATGCATGTATTTAATAAAGCATATATAACTGCAGCGGTAACTTTTGGTTATAAAGGTATGAACCAGTCTCCATTACTGGTATTAATGATTAAAAGATGTCAATTATTATCTATTATTATAAAAGTATTATAAAAGGTATAGTATAGCAACTTTCTTGCTGTCATAAGATCCAGGTATCTGCATTCTCAAATAACCAGATGATTATCATTACCATTCTTTTTTTTTCAATGAGTAGGACTGTGGGGATTTAAGAAACTAAGTCTGAAATTTACAGCCCAGAAGACGTGTTAGAATTTTTACAATGCAAACAGTCCATTTATCCAGTTTTAATCAGCTACTCTAAACTAACCACTGTTCTTTTTAAATGGAACTCTAAGCTTTCCATTGTAAAATGTTAGCTTACCCTGTTTTCCCAAAAATAAGACCTTCCTGGATAATCAGCCCAATCACACTTTTGAGATCATGTGCTAAAATAAGCCCTCCCCCAAAATAAGCCCTCTCCCAAAATATTGTGACACAGCAGCAGCCATGAGGTGACCACACTCACTGCCTCCTACACCGCAAAAGTAATGAAACCTCCCCAAAAATAAGGCCAAGTGCCTTATTTCGGGGAAACATAGTAGTTCCTAGAAAACCGATTAACCATAGTACAGTTAAATGGTGAAACAGTTAATGAAAGAACTGTCTGGTCATTATAAATGATGGGTAACAGGGCTATTTCATAGTGTAGCATGTATCCTTGTTCCTTGCTACAAGAGAAAGTACATTGGGTTCCTTGCTACCAGTTACTAAACATAAATCACATTAAAGGTGTCAGTTTAATAAAACGTTAACAATATTGACTTAAAACACATGCAGACTAATTAAGATAGACAAGGAACCCCCCCCACCCACCACCATTTGATAACTGGTCTCCAGTGGACCTTTTGGCCTGTACAGTAGATCAGCTCCAAGGGATGTGATCTATAAACCTCAAGTGAGAGTGCCTCAAAACCTGTAGTAGGTCATAAGTTCTTAGGCAGTTTGAAACAGAGGTGGTATTCAGCAGGTTCTGGAGAATCAGTAGTGGAAAACTTTGAGTAGTTCGGAGAACGGGCAAATACCACCTCTGGCTGGTCCCAGAGTGGGGTAGGAATGGAGATTTTGCAGTATCCTTCCCCGGGAGTAGGGTAGGAATAGAGATTTTGTAGTATCCTTCCCCTGCCACTAAGCCGTGCCCACAGAGCCGGTAGTAAAAAAAATTGAATTCCACCATTGGTGAACTATCAAAGCATGATTTGGATTGTTTAAAAAAAGACTAAAAATCTAGCAAAATAGCAAGATCAGAAAGCAATAGTAATGAAATACAATTGAACTGAAAGTAAGGAAAAAAGCAAATATGAGGTAAGCAAACAGTAAAATGAAAATAGAAATAGAGGAGAAAAATAAAAGATAAAAAGCAGTGCTTAAATGGGCCATAATTTAATGGAAATTATTTGATGGCCATGTTTCCAGGGGACTTTAGCTAATCTAACTGGAGAAACATCTTGACGGCTCCCTCAACATTTAAAGTTGATGGCACCATTTTAAAAGCCCAGGGGGGCCTTGTCCATTCACAGACCATACTACCACAGTTATAATTTATTGTGTATCACTCATTTATTACCCTCTTCATTATCTCCTACACTATTTGAGTGTTTTTTTCTCCCTATGCAAATGGAAGGAAGCACATCTCTGGAAATACTCATTGACTTAATGGAGTCAACCTAGGTATGTCCAACAGGCATTTCTGGAAATAGTAGTAGTGCTGGATGCGTGGGCTTTGCCAGCTTTTGATTTTTTGAAACCTAATATGCAAATACAGAGTTCTGGTCACTCTCTTGAGTAAAATCGCCAGAAGGTACACTTGTAGGATTTAAGCTACTTCTCCTCTTCTATATGAGGACTTCTTAGAGTATTTTGAACATTTTTCTCTACTTTACAAGATTTCCAGAAACAAATTCATCAAGGTGAATGAGCTGTTTATAGATATGCATACGTCTCTCCTACCTTTTTGACAATTCCAGATTTTTCCCCCAAAGTATTCTTGAAGCAAACAAGGCTAGTTAGTTTGCCCAGTTGAGCTAGAACCAAATGCATATATTTTTATTAAAGAAAACAAAGCTGGTATGATTTAGCTAGAGTTTATGAGAACCATAAATTGCTATAAACTATAAACATTGTCATATATAGAAAGCAAATTGTTGTAATCACATTTGATTTGTTTATGGGATTTTTAAAAAACCACATGCAGGGCCTTCCCCCCCCTTTATTTGGTGTATAGATTAAAATCATGAATCTGGATCAATACAATATTACAAACAATGTTATTAACCCATTTGAAAACTCTTTTTATTTCACTGACACCACAAATCTCATCAAACAATTGATTTTTAAATTTAAATCACTTACATATAACTTGTTCTATAACTGTATTGGCTTTGACATTTCTAAGGGCTGTATTTTTTAATTCAATGTATGTGGCCAAAGTAAAAAGTTTAATTATGCAATACTGAAAATAAAAGTTTACATTAAACACTTGGAAATAAATTCATAGGTTCTCTCCAAACTAGTTGGGAAATCTCTTCCACACCATCCCGGATCAGACAAAAAAGCATAACTGCATTTTAAAAAATCTCTTGGAGTATAAAATTTAGTTTCTTTCAAAATAGAAATATTTGAACCGCAGAAAAAACTGTATTTTTGGTTTTGTTGAGCTAGACTTCTAAAGTAGTTAAGCCTACACATACTACATTTTTGTCTGTGTTTGATATTTCAAAGTAGCTTCATAATTTACTTTTCATCAGCTACTTTTGATGAAACACTTTCCTCTTTAATACTATATGTGGAAAATACAACTTTTGCTGGAAATATGTGCAGTCAATGTTAGGCTGTTCCCAAATACCATGTGTGTGATTCACTACAGATTCCTATATAAATAATAAATTCAGCCCGTTGCCCATGTTTACACCTTTCCCTGGCTATGACTGTTAGCTGTTAACTAGTTTTCATTTAATTATGACATCAGCTGGATTGTTTTCTTCCATACTAGCTGTGCTCACATCTGGTACTCTCAAGTGTTTGGATTACAAATCCCCAAAGTATGGTTCTTTTGACAACTGTAATGCAACATTGTCTGAGGGATACCTCAGGATGACAGACCTTAAATTTAGCTTAGTTTAGAGCTCTCAGATGAGACTCATCAGTTTGATCTCATTCTGTGCAAGATAGGCAAAGTTCTGAACTATTGAGGTGAGTGGCTTGAACCCTGATTTTTGTTTTATTTGAAAATACATTTCCAGTTTCAAATATACATACTCTCTGTCTCTTCAAATTACAAAAGTCAAACTATGCTCTTTGCTTTTTC